ATTTTCTAATTCTACTAATACACAGAGAAGGAATTTAAGCCAAAAATAACATAAATATGAACAGCTATTGGGGTTATTTTATAAATTTTAAAAATATAGAGTAAAATTGTTACACTAAAAACTAGCAAATTCCCATTTTCAATTAAAAAAACTGGTCAGAACCAATTTTTCAAATTTGAAAATGGATTTTCAAATGAAATTAGAAAATTTGGTAAGAATGGGATAACCAAACATTGTTTTCAAAAAAAAATTTGGAAAAAAGGAAAAATTTTGTATGTCCAAACGGGATCTTAGAAATTTCACTTAAAGAACGTGATACTAACTCAAGAAGCAAAAAGATTAAATTATTTGCACACACTAAACTTCGAGAGCTTTAAACTGAATGTTTATCCCAATATACTTCATATATACCGTTAAAAATGTGCCAATTATCAATTTTTATACGTCCTATAACTAAATAATATTTATGTTTTTTTGACACATTAAATAATTACTGCAAATTGATGGTTAGACTCAGAGGTGGATTCAGGATTTGAGGCTTATGTGTTTCTACCGTAATTTCAAATTTATATGTAATAATAATTGGGTTCACAGTTACATATTTAAAAATATTTAGTAAATTTTTTAATATAAATACAGAATCTACGCAAGAGTTACTGGGTTCTCGGGAACCCGTACTCAATGCTCTATGTCCGCCAGGATGGAGTAAAAACTAATCAATTAGAACTATAACTTTATATGATCCATTAACATACCATCGCGAGTCGCAACAACTTGGATCAGTTCTTCTGCATCAAAATCTTTTGATAACGAAAGTTGTAAAACATTCAACTCAGTTGACTTGATCTCCTCATTCGCCATAAGTTGAAAAGCTGCCAAATTGGTCATAAAGTTAGTGTTGATTTTTTTTTTTATATCTAAATACAATCTATTTTATAGTCGGCTTTGAGTGAGGGAAAGTAGTGAGAGAAGAATTCGAACATGTAAATATAATAAAGTTGTACTAACCAGATACATAAAGCAAGAAGGCTAGAACAATACAAAATTTCGTTGGAGAACTCTTGCCATCCATTATTGTCAATGAAGAAAAACTACGATTGTGAAAAAGAAGTTGCTGACAACTGTATTGCCTCCCTGATAAATTTATAGGGAGAGCAACAAGCATTTTTTTCCTTGTTTAATAATAGGGGTAGTTAATTGAGTCAGATAAAAATGATATCTGTTTTACTAAATACAAATTATTGATTATGATTAAACAAGATGAAAGTGACATTCCACCAAACATAAACAAATTAATAGTTTCAACAAAATTAAATGAAAAATAACGTTCTTACTACCAAATACAAATAATATGCCGTTGCTTTTAAAAATACGTTCTTACTACCAAATACAAAATTAGATGCCATTGCTTTTAAAAAATTGCAAGAAAATTTTATTAATACAAGATGATGGTTATAGAAAGTAAGAAAGACCATTATACTTAGAAGATTCTCTTACTAAAATGCAAAGAAGTACTAAAAAATAAATACTTTTACTATATATTAAAAGTCTAGAAAGTAAGAAAATATATTACAATAAAAAGACAAACTCATCCCTCTCACGGTCTTACCATGTAAATCTATACTTGAAATATGAGAAAATTTTGAATTTAAAATTTTGAGATAGATCAGTTTTAGAAAGTATCTTATCTCATAATATTTTAACATTCGTACCTTCTAAATACAAATTATTGATTTTGATTGAGCGAAAGTGACATTCCAACCACCATATACAAATTATTGATTTTGATAAAATTATATGACAAATGACATTCCCACTACTACATACGAATAATAGGTATCTTATCTCCTCTACAACTTTTCACATGTTACACTTTTTATTTTATCTACATCGTCATAATGTGAATAATTTCTTTATTAACGTGTTATTGCTTTTAAAAATGACAAGAAAAAATTTATTAATACAAGATGATAGTTATAGAAAGTAAGAAAGATAATTATACTTAAAGGGTCCTCTTACTAATGTAAAGCAGCAC